AAGTTCAACTTGTTAAGCGGGATAACCTAATATATTTATAAATTAACCTTTATTATTATAGGTAAGCGATTTGGATTCGGACTTTCTTTTACCCTTCGCATACCCGTGAGCATGATGAGAGAATATCTTTTTTGTCTTAAAAACTTTCATAAGTAGTCAATTCGGCCTGTGGAAATTGGTAATATAGACAACGGGGCGGGATAAACTTTGGAATTTGTGATCGTTTCAAAACTCAATTCAATGGACGGTTTGTAGCAAAAGGAGCTAAAACAAAGTCCATGAACATCAGAAATGACCTAAATGTGGCGTGTGGACCAACTGCCGAAGCCCAACAGCTGAAGGATGAGAAAACGAAACAAAATCAAGAACAGACCCAAGAGATCAAGGGCGAAGTAGACATGGACCACCCTACTAGCCTAGTAATATTGTTATCCCGTGAATGATTAAATTTATAAGGCTAATTCCATTGTTCAACTTCAAAGTTTTTTTTATATATATATATATATATATATATATATATATATATATGCGTAATGCCAAGACACCCGACCTAACTCGTAACCCAACTTCTTACCATTTTGAAAGAATCATGCTGCTCATTCATGGACAACTAGATATATTTGGCCTCTTTGAGGGGAAAAGAAGAGACAAAAAAAAGATATTGAATGGAAATTATTAGTGCGTTTGAAACTCGTTTCAAAATGATTTTATTTTTTGTATGAAAATAGAAATGAAAATGTTTTCAATCTCAGACAGAATCATTTTTAAAAATGTATTTAGTAGTTTTATCAAGATATTATTTTCAGTATAAAAAAATTTATTAATGTCTCTCTCTCTACTCGAGAGAGGAGAAAACGGAAGCAAAAAATAAAAAAAGACTAAAAGTCATTTTTCATTTCTCTTCCATTTTACATTAAACCAAAAAATTATTTTCATTTCTATTTTTTATCTTTAATTGTGTTAAACGTTGTTTCTCTATTGTTTTTATTTATTTTTTCTAAAAAAAACGTGAAAAACAAAAATAAAAACAATTCCAAACACAACCTATATATATGCGTAAATCTGTATTCTCAAACCATATATGTAGACTTTGATGGGAAAAGAAGAGACAAAAAGATGTTCAATGGAAATTATATATTTTTATATATACATCTATAATTCTCAAACCATTAAAGATGGTACTTTGATAAGTGGCTCCAGATTATATATCAGTGAGAAGTATTAGATCAAAACAAGAAAAAAATTTCAGAAAATAGACGCAGGTTTTCAAAGCGGATCAATAGTAATTACATATATTATAAGTGGATTTTGGTAGGAAATATTAATGGAAAACAAATTTTCTCCCCGAATATAAGTTAATTATTATTTTCTTTTAATCGTTAGAGATTATTCAATGGACCGTACGTGTGCCAATGTTTTGTACCCGCTGATCAATAAATAGTTGTTATTATCAAAGCGAAAAAAAAAAAAAAAAAGTTGTTATTAGGTGATTCAATTCAGTTCACATATAAAACATTTCAATAGAGTAATTAACAATAATGACTAATTGGCGGAGGAGGCTGTCTTCACCAAGATCTGGTTGTGAGGGCTTGCCGGAGCAATGCCGACACTCAGACCGAATTGGGTCGGAGGAGAACAGGGGCGATGAGAGTGCAGGAGGGAGTTGTGACTTTGTGGTGGTGTTCCAACAAAGAAAGAAGGGGCAACTATGGAGGACCCAAAAAAAAGTCTGAATGACTATAGGCCTTGTTCGGCAGCCTCAAAAACTCAAAAAAGGTAATTCGAGTTCCAACTTTATTCAAGTTCATGTTCTTTTAAGTCTGAACTCGAGTTTGAACTCGAGTTTGGGACCAAAACTCGAGTTCAAGTTTCCCCTTCAACTTGAGTTCAGAAACTCGAACTCAAATTAATGAATAGTATTTTTTCTATTCTTAAAAATGATATGACTTTTTCGTTTTAATCCTGATTGAGATGATTTTTTTTCTATGCGTTGACAAAAGACGAATAAAACCCCACCTATATACCCTATTAAAATTTTTCATCACCATTGAGTTTTTATTAAAATACTATCTAAATACAAATTCAAGTTTTGACTCACTCAAACACAAACTCAAAAAGATTCTTATCTCAAATCATAACTCAAATGTACACAACCAAACACAAACTCAAGTTACAACTTCAACTCAAGTTATAACTCAAATTCAACTCAAAAACTACATTTAAGTCACACTCTAAAAGAACAGACCCTATATATTCCTCCCATTTAGAGGAATGATGATCCAACCAAATTGATGAAAAAAAAATCTTTTATCTTTTTAAAAGAAAATAGAAATTTATTATCTTAAAAACGACCAAACATCAAAATTATGTTTATTTCTTTTCCATTCCATTCCTTCGAATAAACGTCTTAGCTGAAAACTTCATTGTACATGGAAATACTATAAATTATAAATGCGTTTTAACGTAGTTAAAATATATATTGTCATATGTATTATAAAAAAAAAATCAGGTTCATGCCTTTCATTTAAGAAAAATACACCGAAAAAATTGGGTTTCAGTTCTACTGGAAATGTTATGAGTTATGACTAAAGTGAATGTTGCAATTGATATCGAAATTAATAAAACATGCAGTACTTCATACACAAAAAGAAATTACATAAAATTGAGAGTAGTTGATGTGATGAGAGAATACAAGATTTTCAGAAGACTCTTTTCTATCGAAATGGACAAATTAATTTAGACATTAGAGATCATCCTATTTTTTCATTTAAAATTCAGCTTAGGTTTTAACTATTTCATTTATACGATCTTCTATTTATAATTTATGATTTATATTACTATATAAGAAAGTAACCAGAGAAACGAAAGAAAGAAAGTAGAGTTCGAGAGAGGATGCTGAGTGTTGTGTGGAAAAATGTGACGGACACCTGGATGTACGATAATGCGACACGTGGCCTTAACTGCTCCTTGCCAAGTAACAACCCTCGATGTCTACAGCTCTAAAGAGCCCAAGCACAAAGTCCAACTTAAGGCGACGATTCCTTCTGGCGTCGACAGATTGAGCCAGATTCCTTCGGCGTCGACAGATTGAGCCGTCGAGCTTAAGGTACGAAGATCCCTCGACCACAGAATCAACCACCAAGAAGGACGATTGGGCTAAGCATCGCTAGCGACGAGGGGAACGTTCTCTGGAGGACGTGGCAAGTTGCGTACAAAAGTGGAGGACGCCTGCAGGCATTAATTGCGAGCTCTTAAACCGCCACACAGGGGACATGATAGTGTTACAGGGACGCACAGAGCCGTAATAGAATACTAATTGGCTGAGTGAACAGTGCTGATTAGTGGGCTACGTCTGGGCCTAGAAAGGGGAAGCACTTGAGTGCTTTCTGCCTACGAGGGAAACCCACCCAGCAAAGAAAGCCCAGTATAAAAGGAGGGAGACCCCCTACGAGGAAGAGGTTCAGATACAAGAAGAGAAAAAAGAGTGAGAATTGATGTAAAGTGTAATCTCCTCAAAAAGAAATATACAACTACAGTGGATGTAGCTCTAGTTTTACAGAGTGAACCACTATAAAACTTTTTGTCTTCTTTATTTGTGCGCATCTCAAACTATATACACCATAGACTCCGAACAATAAGTTTACACACATATTTAATACATAGGCCGGTAATCCAAAGAGAAGCCAAGAGGTAACCCGGCCGGTTTTTGTTCACGAGAAATCACTGTCAACACTGAGCTTTCAAAGAACTCAAATCTGAGAGAAATTGATAATTTCCTCATTAATGAATTTACTGTACAACTTTTTCAGAATTTTTTTACTGTACAAGTTAATACAATTCTGTAACTCTTCTAACTAATTCTGGTAATAACAGCATTAGTAACTAATCCATTAACGATCTAAAACTATTTATCAACATCCAAACCACACTCATCTTTTTCTTTTTCAAATTTACATGGATTAGATTCTCAGTTCAAATTGAAAATTGTGATTTAAAAATATTAAACAAACACATGTTTAATTATTTCCCGACCAATCTTAAATTATTGAGATATCTTGAGTTGTCCCACTATATTTTAATGGCTTAGAATAATTCTGGGAATTTAAAGACAGTGAAAGAAACAAGAAATTAAACTGAACTTTGCAATCAAGTGGGCCGGTCATGACAAGAACTTTACATGAAAAAGACCCACCGGTGAAATGAAGCGTCTGTAAGTAGTGAAACAAAAAAACTTGACATATATGAGTGTATAAATTGACTCAAACACACACACAAACGCACTCACACAAAAACTACTTGCATTTGGAAGTATAAATTGACTCAAACACACACACACACACGCACTCACACAAAAACTACTTGCATTTGGAAGTTACTTTGCCCTGTTTGTTTTACTGATTTAGTTCAATTTGAACAGTGAGCACAATTTGAATTAATATTTAGTAAGCATATAGTTTGAATTATATTTTCCGTTTGAACTAAGTTAAACATTTTTGAACAGTAAAAAGGTGCTCACTCTCTGTTTTTCACACCTATCAAATACAAATTTAAATTTTATTCTCTGTTCAAATTAAAACTTTAACTGTATTTTTAAACATCAATTCAAAATATAATTTAAACCACACAATTTAAATTTTTCTGTTTAAATCAATAAAATTTAAACCAACAAACTAAACGGGTGAATCGTGTTTTCTCACACCCAACAAAAGAACATTTCTAGTCCCATCACACAACATAGACAGTACTATAAACTACTATTTTTCTTTCTTTTTTTCTTTACTTTTTTTTTTTTTTTTTTTTTTTTTTTTTTTTTTTTTTTTTTTGTGCTAGAAAGAGAAGTATGCAAGCATAGAGCTAACACGTATACAATAATAGAGAAACAATTACTTTAGCTCAAATTAGAAAAGGCCAAATTAATATGAATATTGCAGCACTGATATTATCTATCCCGGCAGCTAAAATAAGCAGGATTAAAACAGCTGATAATATTTGTCTGTTAAAATTAGGTATATATATATATATATTTATATATAACATAGCTAAAAGTTCCAAAGAAACGACGAGGAGTACTGATGAGAAAAGATGAGGTCATCTCCAATAAAAATATTCTCATCTCCTCTAGTGGAGCAGTCGTCTGGTGCAGCAGCGGCAGGTAGAACCGGATCAGCAGTTGTACAAAAGTACTCATCAGAATGCATCTTATCAAGCTGTCCTGAAAATAAAGGGTAATGATCAAAATTATGATCATAACCTGCAGGAGCTCCATCATGGATCGAATAATCCAAAAAGTTCAAGCACGACCAATCCGTATTATTATTATTGGTCGTCTCATGATCAGCAGTAGTAGTACTAATCATATTACTAGTACTGCTCATGTAATTAGACCCATAACAATGTTGCTGATCAGATATTACTGGTGGAAAAGTAGGGTTTGGATCCTGTGAAGGAGGCGATTCTGAAATATTAGTCATGTTATAATTATAATGATCATGATGATCATCGGCAGTTAAGTGCCCTGCATGCTCATCACCATGTTCATGGTCTTGTTCCTGCTCAGCAAACCTAGCTGCGACCACTTGAATCTCTTGCGGGCTAAGCGAGCGGCCGCCGGGTATGTTCGGCGGAGACTCGGGGAAATTGAAGTGAGCGTAGCCGCCGCGCAGGCAGAACTGGGCCGCGTCGAAAGCCCTCGCCGCCTTCTCCGCCGTGTCGTAGGACCCCAGCCATATGCGCTCCCGGCTGTTGGGAAGCCTAATCTCCGACACCCATTTCCCCCACTTCCTCTTCCTCACACCCTTGTACTTCGGATATGACTCGCCACCCTCACCGGAGCAATATGTTTGCTTGGAATTTACTGTCGTTTCTCCACTCTTGATCTCCATTTTTTTTTTATATGATTCAGAATAATTTGAATATGGATAATGGGACTAAATATTGGAAGCACAATGGTTGAGGGGTCATGGCATGTGTTTATATTTATACATGTTTTTTTGTACGGTAAGTAGGAAGTGAGGATTGAGTCTTCTTAACTTACTGTCTGCAATTATTAGTATGTTGTTTGAGAGCCCTTGTTAAACTGTGGAAGTACTGTGCTACGTGGACAGTGGAAGAGTGTACGATCACAAAGGTGACGTGGTAGGGCCGTATTTCAATTTATGCATTTAGAGCACGTGCTTTATTTTTAAGGATGTGATATTTCCTTGTTTTGCCTTTTAATTTTAGACCCAATATTTATATATATATATATATATATATTATATCGATATATATTCATGTATATATTGTGGTTCTAGACCACCGGCCAGCGGGCAAACTAAAACGTACATCACACAATGCACTCCTTGTTCTTCCTATCACTTCTCGCTTTACCAATTATCACTTACAAGTTTCTGCATCATTGCCCTAGTTAGATATAGGGCATGTGATACTCAGCCAAAAATTTAGATATAAGATATGACTCCCTCAAATTGTTTTCTCTGGAGTTTTTGAAGCCGTTTGACTCATAGATTTGAATAAAAAATTTGAATTGAATTTTTGTAAAAAAAAAAAAAAAAAAAGCATTGCAGTAAAAAATTTTAAACTCACCTGGTTCAAGCCTATGACCAAACACCACCCAAGGTCTTGAACCTAAAATTTACAATGAACTTTTAAAATTTAACAGAGATATAAAATCATATGTTCATCTTCCGAATAACTTGAAACTTACATAATTAACTGGTTACATTAAGTGCAAATTTTTTGCCTATTTTCAAATGTTTCTGACCACAAGAGAACATAGTTTGTAATTATTGTAAGAAATGTAAATATTGTTTCTATCGGTTATCATGTGTTAGGCACATTACGTCTACTAAGATTAGCTATGAACCAAAATTGCTATTAAGAAGTAAATTCAGGAGCAATTTACTAGAAAAAGAATTGAGAAACCAAGAGCCATGATGCTCATAGTTTATAAGCTATCAGCGCTAATATATAACCAATGACTCTACCATGAAGCGTTTTTTTCTCTTCAATAACGAACTATATTAGAAAGCTAAAAGATAATGAAAACGAAATATATATACTATCTCATTTTTTATTGCTTAGTTTTTATATAGTTTTTCCTCTTAATAAATCAAGCCTATAATTGGATTAGACTAATTTCTAAGTCTTAAATATAGACGACCTTAGAATGAACGATCGAGCACGAAGATTTATACTCTCTTTTTAGAATTTTTACAATTTTTTTTCCAGAAAATAAAGATTAATAGCTTCACTTTCTCCCTTTCCTAATTTTCTATGAAGAGCGCAAAACTAAATACAATAGGTGAGTTAAGGAAATACATTTCCTAATTTTCTCTAAGAAGGTTCTGAAAACGTTTATGGATCTTAGTGTTTGAGCTTGTCCTTATTGAGTGGTCAAGGCATAGATAATATTACTTTTCTTATAACTAAGTGATAAAATATTTATAAGAGGCACAATATTACTTAATTAAAAAAAACTACAATTTCCTAAGAGTATTAGGCTATGTTTGTTTCATAACTCAAGTTGAGAACTTGAGTTGTATATGTGAGAGAAAAATAAGAATTTAAATTTTTATAAGAAAAAATATTGTAATAATAGAACTTATTGAATTGTATTTTTAGTTGTGAAAAGAATAAGGCCTTAATTGCATATAAAATTAAAATTTGAAAATTATAACGAGGTACACAACTACACATGCATGCCTCCATTGGTCTTAAGAATTTAGACCATCTCCAATTAATGCAAATGCTAATGCTAATTATGCACCCAAAAAAAAAAAAAAATAGGATGTGTTATTTTCATTTATGCTCTAATGCATAATGTTATTTGAAATGGAAAATCTACTTTTTCTATAATCATTAAGTTTTGAAAGTAATAAAAGTATAATTATGATCATTATAAAAAATTTAAAAATGCAAAAATTGCAATGATTAAATGAAAAAGTAAACATATCAATCAATAGGAGTCAAATACCAAATTTATCACATGTTATACTTAGTGGAAATTATACCATAAAGTGTAGCATATGCAAATTTAACGCAACAAATAGCATTGAATTAGTGAGTATTTTTTATACTCAAATGTCAAATTTACAAAACTAGACAGAGATATAAAGAGAGGCATAGTCTTTTTTTTTTGTATCTCACGTACGGTTCGGAGGCCGAGCCCTACCCCAGCAATAATGGTGCGGCTTAGGTCAACTAACACAAAGAGGATACAGTTCACTCAACGATTGCCTTAACACATCTATTATAAGAGCATCTCCAAAGTAATGCTATAATTGATGTGAAATTATAAATTTAGCATTTAAGTGTAAAAAATATTCTCTAATGCAATACTATCTGCTATGACAAATTTGTCATATGCTATGCTTTGTGCAAAATTTTCCACCAAATATAGTATACGACAAATTTGATATTTGATTCATATTGGTTGATATGGTTACTTTTTCATTTAATCATTACAACTTTTGTTTTTTCAAATTATTTTTAAATTAAAAGTTTACTTTACAACTTTCAAACGTAATGATTATAGGAAAAGTAGATTTTAATATTTCAAGGGTCTGTTTAGTTCGTTGATTCGAGTTTTTAATTCGAGTTGGGATGTGACTTTATTTGAGAACTTTTTACTGTAGCAAAAAAGTTAGATGTGACTGTTTCTGAAAGCCTTTTACTGTAGCAAAACTCGAATTAGTGAAATAAATGGGGCACAAATAACATTATGCATCAGAGTAAAAATGAAGATAAGATGTCACATCATATTTTTTTGGTGTCAAATATACAATTGTCATTAGCATTTACATTAGAAATAGTCTAATATTGCATTAGAAATGCTAAACTACTACGTCAACCTTTTGAGTTAAAACTCCGATCCCCTGTGATGAAGCCCAGAGTTTTAACATACGTCAATCCACAGTTAATCATGAAACTCATATTATGTGGTTGATAAGCTGGCCTCTTTTGGAGTTTCTTCTCAAGCAACTTCTTGGTTGTTCACTATTCCCAATTTCTACAAGGCGAATGATATGAAAGGTCTTCTAAATTATAGATTTCGCTCATATAGGCGACTCTATGAGTAAATATGTACTCCTTTTCTCTTTTAGTGTTTTTCTCGTTAAATTTTGGCTAAAAGGTTTTTAACGAGGCATATAGCTTTTATTTCAAGGTGTAAGTTCCGGCTTTATCCTGTGAGATGAGCTTCCGACTATTATTTTGTTCTTGTTCGGTATTTTTTTTAAGTTGTTTTCTGTTTTCTGCTTTTTGGACGTTTTGTCACAGTTTCTTTTCTTAATTTGTAATTTCTTTTTCTTCCTTATTAATAATATTGAAGTGATGGACTTGGTAGATGATTGGTTTTAAGGGAGGTGCCAACTTAGTTAGGATGTCTCGGCAAACTTAAATATCAATTGTCTATTCTCTTCGGTTTAAAAAAAAAAATCCTGAATCTAATAGTTTTATACATAAATCTAAGTAATTTAATTACATAATGTTAACATTACTCGAGGCTGTAAGCATGATCTAGTTTTAATCACAATAGTTCTTTAATATGATTATCTGCACGCGCACCGACTAAAGTAATTTAGGCATATGACAATTTTTTCATAATGTATTATGCATGCATTTCAGATGCGGGTCTTACGTTTTCATAATTTAATTCGTTTTTTCCGTTGTCTTTAAGAATCCTTCTTTGGGCTTTTGTTGGTATTCATTTGTAGGCTTGTCTATTTTATCTTGATCTACACCAAACGATAAAATTCTCTTCCTGGGCATTCCGTACGGACTAAAATGATTGCACATATATAGTTATTACATGTAAAGTCGGTGCGACGACTTAATTACTGCTACTTTATAAGTCAAGTTTGCAAATCTATATGAAAATCTATAGATGAATTATATGGATATATCTCCCCAGCCGCGAATCTTCTAGGATTATATATTACTATTTGGTGTCTAGCCTGGGCTAGATGCCAAATCTTATAATACTATCTTAAGGTGGTGCTTTCTGGCTTTGTGATGGTGATAGATGAAATTTTGTTACCTCGTGCGTCCACTAATTGCACGCAATTTTTGTTTTCAGCAACATGCTTTTTTTTTTTTTAATTGAAAAAAAAAAAAAGTCTAAAGAGAGCTACCAACATTAACATATTCTATTTTTAGTGAAGTTCATCAAATGCTAACAGAAATGTTCATTAAACGCCTTACGGCATGAGCACTACCCCCTCTACAAGGAGCGGTCAAGATATGAGAGGACGTAATCCCAGGCGGACATTCTATATCAAGTATTAGTTTAGAAAATAAAAATAATACGTTTGGTTCATATATTAGAATCATGTAATTAAAATTATTTTTGATTTATGTGTATTTTATATGAGAAAAAATACTATAACGAATCATGAATCATGATTCAAATCATGGTTTGAATCCTCCAACCAAATATTTAAAGAGAACCACTCAATACTTAAACCAATGATCACTAACTCATCACCGTAATCCATTACTCTTACGACACCCGCTCGATGGTACCCCACAAGCTTTTATTAAAACCCTTTTGTCTTATATATTTTCACATCATCGTGTAATGGTAGATGGTGACTCGCATTTGGAGAGCCGAGTTGACAGAAGGATATATATACACTAATGTTTTAGTTTGTGCAAAAAAAAAAAAAAAAAAAGAGAGTCTGAAACCCAATGAAAAAGGATGAGAAAGAAAAGATATAGAGAGAGTGATAATGAACCAAAGTAAAAAAGAATCAGCCTAAGGGACTGAAAGAGACGTGACCATATGGATTGCGGCGCTTGAAAATTTTATGGCCGGAATTGCTATTTGGTACCAAACTCCCATTTTTACTTCCCACTATATATATATATATATATATATATGTATATGTATATGT